AGCAGAGGCTCAGCAAGTGCCCCCTCGGCATTTAGGTGGGGTAGACACGGAAGCCTGGCCCCTGGCACGGCGACAGACGTAGCTTTAGGGAGTACGGCACCTGAGTTACCATGTGCATCCCTACTTTTTCCAGAGAAGAATGGCTCTTTCCTAGTGTGACCAACCCGGTAAGTGGCCCCAACAGGTGATAGGTTAAGATCACCACTACTCAGCTAAGAGACGAAAGAGCTGCCTCAGCATCCTGAAGGTATCAAGGTACAATGTGGAAAAGAGTGTGAGGTAAGAGGCTGGGTGGCAGAGGCCTGGCTACCCTAGCCCTCTTTCACGTGCTGGCCCACTTAGCTCACATGAGCCTGGTGGCCCAGATTGAAAGCTCAAGGGCTTTGCGGCCTTGCCATTTGACTTAGACCTGTTGACTTGACGGAAATTCATATCGGTTTTAATTTGAGAGCTGGTGTTTCCTCCCGAGTCACAGAGACTTCAAATTCCCATCTCTCTCTCCAGCACCTCACGCTTCCACTAGTGTCATTTTCTATATCCGGACTGAGGAAGGACTGGATTTCACACCTAATTAAAAGAGATTGTAATGCCTGCTGTTTCCTTTCTTGTTCATGTTCCCCTGTGCACAGGCAGCTTTTTATTCTCATGCTAAGTCCTATCCCTGGACACCTGCAGCTTAAGTGACAGAGAGGAGCTGGGTTCCTACAAAACAGAGTGGGGCCCTCTGTCACCTATGTCACCACAGGCAGATTTTCCCTGCGGCACTTGCTCCTGCGTGAGCCCTGACCAACTGTGCTCACTCACCGAGCACAACCACTTAGAATCCAGGATCACTTTCAGCGGTACAATTCCTCGCATGTTTCTAGAGAATGCCGTCACAGGCTGACTCTGTATTTCTACTCTAGTGGAAAGGAGGTAGGTTATTATTTTAAAACACACAGAGAACTATTTTTATCACTTTTTTCACTTTGCATCAATTCAATGTCCATACCAGTGTGGGGTTTTTTTAGATGGGGTGGTGTTCCCAAGTACACATAATCTTTGTAAAGTTGTATGGTTTTGTAGAGTGAGAGGCTTTTTTTTTTCTTTTCTTTTCTTTTTTTTTTTTTTGAATAGCCCAAATGCCTATTCAGTGCCAATCTAGGAAAGAATGGAGTTAGCATTTTCACACCATTCCTTCCTATACAGTCCCTGAATAACCATCTAATCAAGATTTGTTTTCAATGGAGGACAAATCTTCTACAGTGGAGTATTTCAGATTTATTCCGTTGGAATCTATACATTAATGCCCATTGGATGAAAAGGACAAGTTTCACAAAAGCCTGGACCTTGCCTGGCTGTGGCAGAAACTTTTTCCCACTGTATTAATACATGTTAAAAAAAAAATCAAAGAAAGCCTGGGAAAGGAACTGCCTCCGCATTGTGTGCTGAAGGAATGAGGCAGGCTTGACTGGAGAGGCAGGGTCCTCATCGCATCTGTACCCATATCGGCAAAACCCATTGAACCTTTCATGGCTGCTCACTGCAATGCATGACCAGTGTACTCGGGGAGATGTTTAAAAAGTGTCTATAAAAACCTGGCTGGGCTTGTCAGTCAGGTTGTGTATGTGTGCAGGTTTGAGCCTGTCTCTGTGGCTTTGAATGAAGATGGTGACACCATTACTGCAATAATCATAACTCAGACTATTTAACAGAAATTTTCTTTGCGTGGTGACCACTTTAGGTTTACCTGATTGTTTAGATAGACTCAACCAGTTTGGTCAGACAAGCAATTTGGATTAGCCTAATGAGACTGTGTGTGTGTGTGTGTGTGTGTGTGTGTGTGTGTGTGTAAGATAGTGACAGCTTTTGCTGTTGACCACTTCCATCTCTAAGCACCCTCCTTCATCACTTTCAGGTCTATCTTCTGTATCTCTAGAGTTAGGATGGCCCTTGATCTTTGGGCAATCCAAGTTTCGTTCCTCAGCAATCCAGTGTTATATCATGAAAAGAGCATCAAGGGGCATGGGTTCTAATCCCAACCTGCCACTTCCTAGCTGTATAGAACTTGAAGCAAGTAATTTAGATACTTTGAGAGCCTCAACAGCCTCTCACATCAAATAATAATAATAGTACCTGTCCTGGCAGCATATAGGATTGTTGTTAAGAAGTAAATGAGATGCTGCCTGTGAAACAGTTCTGTACATTGTACACTACATGATATTAATTATTATAATAATTGAGATATAGAGATTCTTCCCAGAATTAGCAGAAAGATGACAACTTTTCATCATATATGACATCTCTAGTGATGTATTAATAGTTGCAACTGGTGCTATGAGCAAATGTGTGTTTAACGAGTGTTTTCACCTGTGTGGGAAAAAATATTTTTAATATTTTTGAATATTTAAATGAATAAATGAAATGAATAAATTAAATATTTAAATGAATATTTAAATAAATATTTAAGGAAACCATCCTACTCAGCAATGGTGATTTTATCAGAGAGTCAACCAGTTTTAATGATTACTGTTTTACTCAAATGAAAGAGACCTTGGTGATGGTAAAATTATATATAGAAAGCTCTACATTTGAATGTCAGGGCAAGTTGTTTTATCTCTTGCATCATTTCATTTATAAACTTAAATATGTTCTTGATTAGATGACTGAGGCTATGCTGAAGTCCCAAGACGTAAAAACATGAGCACCATGCGAATTCATGGATAGGTATAGAAGTAGCTGGAGAGCCTGCTAGGCAAACCTTTTCAGCTTTACTGCAGACCCATGGACACCTAAGGGCCAGACTTAATTCAGGGACAAAGCATGCAATATAGTGAAGCAGGTAAGAGCATGACCTCTAGAACTAGAGTGTCTGGATTCAAATGCCAACTCTACCATCAACTGCCTATGTGGCCTTGAGCAATTTCTTAATTTCTCTGGTCTTGGTTTTTCACCTGAAAAATGGGGATAATAATAATACCTATGTCATAGGGTTGTTGTTAGTATTAAATGAAATTATATACACAAAGTAGTTAGACCAGTTCTAACAGTAGTTAGGACTTGACACATGGTAAGCTCTAAGAACAAATTTCGCCCTTGTTATTATTATCGTGGTATAAGTGCACCATAGGGGACTCAGTAAGAACTTGGAATTTGGTCTGCTGGCTCATTTTCTAACTATTCCTTCTTGGTTTATTGGGGCCTTCCTCTGGGGCCATATTTAGCACGATTACAGAGGATTCACCATGATTCTTTAATCTGGCAAAGACAATTTGTTTTACATGAGTAAAAAAAAAAATAGAAACAATAGCCTAATGAACTATTTTAGGAACAGAGCAGACCCAGTGGACATTGGAACAAGAAGGAATTCTCTTATGTAAAAATTTGTGCAAATCATATCACTGAAAGTGAGCAAAAACTGTAGGCATTTCTTAAGTTAAATGGATATATGTGAGGCTGGCTAAATGTAAAGATGGGAACAAAGAAAATGAAGGAGTATCTAAAAGGATGTGGTCACACCGACTGAGCTCAGACAGCATGAGCAGATTGAATAGAGTAAAGTAGAAATTCTAGCTGAGTTCAGACTTCCCTGAGCAGGCCCCCTCTCCTAAGGCAGAGGACAAAGAGCCTGAAGAGGTGGGCACTCCTGTCTGTGGGCCATGGCCTCTGGGGTTACTTCTAGCAAGACACAAGGATCAGTGCTTGGGCCACCTGATTTTGAAAGGCCGTTTACTTGGCATCTTGCAAGCTGATTGTTCAGTCGCGAAGGCAAGAATGGGGAATCTGAGTGAGGCATGGTTTAGAGAGAGGGATTTTTGGGGCCATTTGAGAAATGAGGTAGAAAAAGAGGAAATCCCTAAGACTTATTGTTATAGCCAACTGTTTTCTTTCTTAATCTGTGACCCAAATGTCACTAACATTATCCCTTGCCTTCACAGTCTGGGGCCTAAGGATGGCCATGAGTCAAACTATCCACAGCCTCCATATAGCTGACTGTACCTTCCTACTGGGAACCATTTGATACCTCCCTATAACAAGTGCATAGAGCAATCAGTTATCTAGGGTGCTCATACATCCCACACCTGGTTTACTCCTGCTACCCTGACCTTATTATTAACAGAGCTCCCTTTCACTCTCAGAGTGCCCAGTTTCAATGGTAAATATGATCACAAGTGTACTCCAGATGCCAAGGTCAATGCTACCATCTCTGATCTCTTTCACATTCCTTCTTCATTAACCCTCAGAAAATTCAGAAAACCACCATATCACATACAACCACCCTAGAAAGTACTCAGATTGTCAAAGATGACAAGAACAATGCCACCCATAGAATGTTTCTGTAGCTATAGGAAGCATCAGGCAAGTCCCCTTTAGTGAGCTCATTGTACTCTATAACCTGTCTCTCAACTGGGAAACATGGTGGCCGCTGTTTGTTGAACATCTTAGTCTGAGTTGAATTTTCCAAAATGTTTGCATTCATGGTATGGATTTGGGGAATATGCCATAGAAATTAGTAGGAAGGGAATTTATTTTTTACTATGAATATCGTTGCAGTCTATGAATAAAATAAGGAACTTTGATAAGCTGGAGAAAATGTAAGCTTTCCAAAGGACATGGGCTTGGGCTTGTCTCAAGTGGAGGTAGAGAGTTCCATGAGAACAAGTCTTTCATTTGCCTTTCAGTTCTTATTTGCTGATATAGGAATGGCAGGCAAATGACCTATCTGTTTATTGGGCAGCTCTACTTCCACTGACAACCCTGGCTGAAGCTCTAGGGGATTAACATGGACTCAGTACCCCCAAATAGCCGGGAAGCTGTTGGGACAAAATTCAAGGCCTCGTTCCCATAGGACTCATATTGACACCTTGACCCCTGTGCAGAGCCTGTCCATCTCTCCACAGAGCCCGCTTGTGTACAAGGTGGGTGCTTATAGGAGCCATGAGCTCCTGAGACCTAGGTGTTAGGGACGCAGTCAGCTAGCTCTGACCCACGCCCTGTTTTGTGTTTGTCTTGGCGTGCAGGTGACATCAGTTGCAAGGGGATGACCGAGCGCATTCACAGCATCAACCTTCACAACTTCAGCAATTCCGTGCTCGAGACCCTTAACGAGCAGCGCAACCGTGGCCACTTCTGTGACGTGACGGTGCGCATCCACGGGAGCATGCTGCGCGCACACCGCTGTGTGCTGGCAGCCGGCAGCCCCTTCTTCCAGGACAAGCTGCTGCTGGGCTACAGCGACATCGAAATCCCGTCCGTGGTGTCAGTGCAGTCGGTGCAAAAGCTCATTGACTTCATGTACAGCGGCGTGCTGCGGGTCTCGCAGTCGGAAGCCCTGCAGATCCTTACAGCCGCCAGCATCCTGCAGATCAAAACCGTCATCGATGAGTGCACACGCATCGTGTCACAGAATGTGGGCGATGTGTTCCCGGGGATCCAGGACTCGGGCCAGGACACGCCGCGGGGCACCCCGGAGTCAGGCACCTCGGGCCAGAGCAGCGACACTGAGTCGGGCTACCTGCAGAGTCACCCGCAGCACAGCGTGGACAGGATCTACTCGGCGCTCTACGCGTGCTCCATGCAGAACGGCAGCGGCGAGCGCTCCTTCTACAGCGGTGCGGTGGTCAGCCACCATGAGACTGCGCTCGGCCTGCCCCGCGACCACCACATGGAAGACCCCAGCTGGATCACGCGCATCCACGAGCGCTCGCAGCAGATGGAGCGCTACCTGTCCACCACCCCCGAGACCACGCACTGCCGCAAGCAGCCCCGGCCTGTGCGCATCCAGACCCTGGTGGGCAATATCCACATTAAGCAGGAGATGGAGGACGATTACGACTACTACGGGCAGCAAAGGGTGCAGATCCTGGAGCGCAATGAATCCGAAGAGTGCACGGAAGACACGGACCAGGCCGAGGGCACCGAGAGTGAGCCCAAGGGCGAAAGCTTCGACTCCGGTGTCAGCTCCTCCATAGGCACCGAGCCCGACTCGGTGGAGCAGCAGTTTGGGCCCGGGGCGGTGCGGGATGGCCCGGCTGAACCCGCCCAACCTGAGCAAGCCGCGGAAGCCCCTGCAGAGGGCGGCCCGCAGCCGCACCAGTTAGAGACCGGTGCCTCCTCCCCAGAAAGAAGCACCGAGGTGGAGATGGACAACACGGTCATCACTGTCAGCAACAGCTCGGATAAGAGCGTCCTGCAGCAGCCTTCGGTTAACACATCCATCGGGCAGCCGTTGCCAAGTACCCAGCTCTACTTACGCCAGACAGAAACCCTCACCAGCAACTTGAGGATGCCTCTGACCTTGACCAGCAACACACAGGTCATTGGCACAGCTGGCAACACCTACCTGCCAGCCCTCTTCACTACCCAGCCCGCGGGCAGCGGCCCCAAGCCTTTCCTCTTCAGCCTGCCACAGCCCCTGGCAGGCCAGCAGACCCAGTTTGTGACAGTGTCCCAGCCCGGCCTGTCGACCTTTACTGCACAGCTGCCAGCGCCACAGCCCCTGGCCCCATCTGCAGGCCACAGCACAGCCAGTGGGCAGGGCGAAAAAAAGCCTTATGAGTGCACTCTCTGCAACAAGACTTTCACCGCCAAACAGAACTACGTCAAGCACATGTTTGTACACACAGGTGAGTGCAGGCCTCCCCCGAGGCCTAGCAGCAGGGGTGGGCGTGGGGGGGGGCTGTGGGAAGGGAGGGGCAGGACAGCAGGTGGAAGGGGTTTGGAGTCATTTTTCAGAATTTAAGGAGACCCCACTGTAAGCCATCTCCTAAAAGCCTCTCACAAGAATAGAGCACCCTGTCACCGAAAGACAAAATCACAGAAACCTTTTATGAAGAAGGGCCAAATGGAAAAAAGCCTAAAGAACTTGCTGGCACAACATCCCTTAAATACATCGAACTTTGTAATACGTTCTTTCACCCTAGGTGTTGCGAACTGGAAAAGCCCTTGGAGATCATGTACGCCAATCACCTCAGTTTACAGATCAAAGTCATTAGGCAGAACAAGGATAAGGGTTTTTAGTCTGTAGAAAGTCCTATATGAACCATCAGCTTGAAGAGGCCACAACAAAGCTGATGCGAGTGTAAGCAGCATTTGTGGTCCCTGAAATGAGGAGGAGTGATAGACTCACTCTGGGTTCTACTGTTTATTCTCTATTTTCAGTACCTAGAGACCACAGTCTGTTCTAGGTACTCCCTTTTAAAAGGACAGTAGACTAATTGGGATGCGTCCAGAGGAGTATGACTAGGATGATGCAGGATGCAAAGCCATGGCATAGGAGTCATGGTCGAAGGTCCTGGGATGTTCAGGCTGCAGAACAGAAGACTTGGGGTATCATGTAAGCCACACCCAAGTATCTGAGCTGCAGGGACAGCAGCATGTACTAGTTAAGCTGGAGCTTGGAGCTGGAGTGCCTTGGTTGGAATTTAGGCTTAGCAACCACTGCACTGGAAAAATTACTTAACCTTTCTAGACTTCAGTTTCCTTGTCTATATAAAGAGGATAATAAGGCTAACTCTTTCTTATAGTGCTGTTTTGAGGATTAAATGAGTTAATGTACATATGAAGTTCTTAAAACAATTCCTGGCACATAATAAGCACTCTATAAATGACAGTTATCATTAGCACTAATAGTATTATTTAAATGGTTGGGAGGAAAGAGACATTATGTTTATTTTGTTTGGGTCCAAAAGGTAGAACTGGACCCAATGTCTGGAAGCTCTAAGGAGATTCTTTCAATGAAATAAAAGAAAATGTGTGTTGACAGTCAGAGCTGCTCTAAGATGGGATAGACAGCCTCCAGAGGGCGTGAGTTCCTGTAATTAGAGGTGCTCAAAGAGACCATGGATGAACATTTCTTAGGGATATCATAGAAAAGATTCAGTCATCAGGCGAGCAGTGAGTGGGGTGAGATGGGCTTTCATCCCTGGAGTCTGTGATTCTAGAGCTACAATCTGAGCTCACAGCCAGTGCTCTTTCCTGTCGCTCTGTAAAGGGACAGACCTAGAAGCGAGAGCTCCACGGATGCTCTGCCATATAAGGTCCCTTCCATATAAGCGAGCACGTGCGCAGTATGGTTTCACTGAGATTCTCTTGTACCTGAAAATGCCTACCCCAATAATGATCACCATATTTGAAATTCCTACTATGAGAGTTACTCTTCTGGTAAACCTCTGGCTCTGGAATATCCCTGATAAGTGACAAAGAAGTTGCCAGGGAAAAATTATGTACTTAAATTACAATACGTGAAAACAAATTAATTTCTCAAAGCAACCTTGTTTCTCAGATCAGCTAGCAGGAATAGCCAGGGGATAGGACATAAAGCATATAAATTTAAATTGGGGACTAGAAGGGAAGGAGAGCAACAGATATTGAGACAAGGTACCCAACATGAAACTGAACAGCTACACTAGAACATTACTCAGGATGAACTTTTCCTTCTTTGCAGTTCAGTTTATGTCAGGACATTATGTAAATCCATGTATGTACCTTTATGCTAATCAATTGTTCTTAAAGATGACAGTTTTCACACCTCCAAAAAAAACATAGCGACACACTACTAAACTTAGGAAGAATATCAGGTAGTGAGTCACTGTGTTTACTTAGAGTAAATGTGAATGTGCTAATAACCTGAGATCAAGGAAATTTTCCATGTGGCATGGGTATCATTATTTGGTACATTAATCAAATACTAATATTTTTCTTGATGTGGCAATTTATGGTTTGCAGAGTGCTCTCACATAGTTTATATTCTTTCCTTCTCCAAATAGCTGTCTTATAAACTATCAGATTAAGAATTAAAGGGGAAAAAAAGACCAATTGTGGAAGCGTCTTCTTAGGCAAAGTCAACTTTGCTGGTCCCGGATCTATAAACATTTCTACTCTCTCCTTCTGTGCATCTCTTCTAGTAGACCTAGCAGACATAAAATTCACACATTCTGTTAGATCACATATTGAAATAAGGCTTTAATTTAACGCATAAATTTTTCAGTGCACTACTAAAAACTACCTTTTTGGTGTATAAACACATTTATCCAATGGATTCACCAAAAGCTTCTGTAGTTAACCTAAATAACTATTGATAGATTTGCTCATAAGAAAACCAACAATGGGTTTGCACATTTATGCATCATAAATACAAAAGGCGCAAGTAAAGTCATTTTACAAATCTAAGTTGTGGTTAAACTGTAACCTTCAGATATCTAGTAAACTATGAGGTTCCTCAGTAAATTATGAAGGTTTTGTATTGGTGTGTATAACAATTAATAGTGTACATATATCACTCTAGCACCTCGTTCAAAATAAGCAGCACTCTTCCCTTGCACCCGCGTTTCTTGGCAGGGTCAGTTTGGAAGGGCCATCTGTCTGTCAAGACTGTAGTCTGACTGAAGGATTCCATAACCTAACAATGTTTAAGAACAACGGGTCTAAATTTTCAAAAGCAAGACAGCCTGATTGTATCAAAGGAATGCAGGACCTGGATTCATGGTTGGCACACATTTCAAAGTAAAGTTCTTTCCAGTTTCTTGGGAAAACATCAAGAAAGTGGGGCCTCCCAACTTTACAGGAGCCAGCGGAAATGATAAAAATCCAGAGCAAAAAAAAGTCCATATGTTGGTCTAAAAAGATTCTAGAAAGTACTGGGGATACTTGAAAGAGTAGGGGTGGATTCAGTATTCTTATCTATAATCTAACCCAGCGGTTTTCAACCTTCCTAATGCCGCGACCCCTTAATACAGTTCCTCATGTTGTGGTGACCCCCAACCATAAAATTATTTTCGTTGCTACTCTATAACTGTAATTTTGCTACTGTTATGAATCGTAATGTAAATATATTTTTGTTCTCCGATGGTCTTAGGCGACCCCTGTGAAAGGGTCATTCGACCCCCAAAGGGGGTCTAACCGAAAAGAATCCTACCAATAAAGAATATTGACAGAGCTAAAAGGAAAGATATTTGGGTTCTTGGCATCACAGCTACTCTGTGTGGTAACTGGCTTTGAATGTCAGTAGCTCCAAGGTTTAATGTAAAGGACACTTGCTTTCAACAACTGCAAAAAATCAACTCTGAGATTGGATTCCAAGTAAAATTCTGTGTAGCTTTATGTTAATAACCCACATATTCATTAAAGGAAGTGTTTAAGACAAATAAGTAGTCCATCATATTGATTTTGGAGCTAAGCTCTACCTTAGAGAACCTAGGAAGCCCAGGTTATAAAGCATATTCCATAATAATTATAACACTAAAACTTAGAGTAGGGATATAAGTGAAAGACGATTATACTGGAATTAGATTATTTGGGTTGAGTTTGGTTCCTCTAATTGTGGCCTTAAGCGAGTCACTTAATTTCATAACCCTCAGTTTCTTTGAGTTTAAAATGGAAATAATAATTTGCCTACCTTTTAAGTAGCTGTAAAGGTACGATGCATGTGAGAGCTTTTCATAAAAGGTGAAGTACTACTTAATGTTTTGGGGTTTTTGTTTTTTGGTTTTTTTAATCATCGTTGTTACTTTAGCCCCATCCTCCCAGGAGACATTGAGTTTCTTTGCTCTATATCCAATCTCTGAATAATTAACTCTCCACGTGTTTCCTTCCTCTATGGAATTCAAATGCTGAAGCAACGTGATACACCTTGGGTTTCCCTTCAACTTCTTTCCTAACATGAACATTTTTTCTCCTCCTTAAGGCTTTTTCTTAAGTAAAAAAAAAAAAAATTCTCACCTAATCACTCTTTCTCTTGCCACACAAACCACAGTAAGCCTTTGCCTCTTCTAGGAAATTCTCAAGTTCCCCTTACTGCAGTTTTATAAAAGTAGTGCGGAAGGAAACCAAGAGTTAAGGACATATTTGAATATAAGAGAATCAGAGAAAAAAAAAAAACAAAGATAAAACAAACCACCCTGTCAGGGCAAAGCAGGACTCCTGTATGCCCCCTCCTAAGAGGAAAAACAATAATCAGGGGAATGGGAATGGAAGGGGAAGACGGAGGACATGAAGGCGCCTGGATGTCAGTGTGGGCGTGGAGTACAAGCAGCAGGGAAAAGTCAAAGACAGCCTCAGCGTAGTGGTTCTGGGAGTGTGATCCCCGGGCCAGCAGCCCAGGCCTGAATCCCAGACCCTGGGAATGGAACCCAGCAGTCTGGGTGTTAAGCCCTGATTCACACTACTTCCCTAGATGGCTTCGGGGATTAGGAGGATGGCATCAGGTTGCTTTTGTTCCATAACGTTGTTCTCTAAAAAACCCACTCATAAGAATCTATGTGTATGGAAAAAGTAAACCAGAGTTAGAGATAACATCTTGATTTTACAGTGGATAAATTATGTTATGGAAGCAAACATCTCACATATGAGAGGGGAGCTAAAGATCTCAAACTGCAGATGTACCCCTTCTGGCACTTAACAGGACTGACCTGTATTATAATTATGTGGCTGTCTCTATACCTTCCCATTACAATATAAACTCTGTGAAAGCAGAAACAGTTTTATATGTAATTATATGCATAAGATATATATATATGTATATATATGTATATAATTATATATAACATATATATACATATATATATGTATATATATCTTATATTTCAAATATACCCAACATAATACCTTACATATGATAAACATTCAT